TATACCTTAAGTGTTACGCCTTTACGAATGCTTTCCAAGAAAGCATCGCGTGAATCACCATCATTTACTGCCGTAGTCGTAGTACTCTTACTGGTAGCGGCTAAATTTGTTTGTGGTAATGATAACGCTGGAGGGGGTGGTGGTGGTGGCACACCAGCTGGCGGAGGTGGCGGTGGTGGTGCACCTGTAGCATTACTTTCTTGCGGCTTTGGTGGTGGCGGTATTGGGGCAGCTGAATATCTTTTAATTGGATCAGATTGTTTTTGAATGGCTGCTATTGGTTTGTTAGAAGACACTGTGGATTTGTTCTGGACATTAACTGGCGGTGTGAACGTATTTGTTTTAATAGTATTACGCTCCTTTGGAGATGATTTGTTTAAAGTAACACCCAAACGTATACTTTCCAGTAATGCATCTCTTGAATGGTTGTCGGTATGATTTGGGTTGGCATTTGTTGTGGATGATATAAATGTATCGTCACTGAATTTTGTGGATAATGGTTTTGGTGGAGGAGGTGGCGGTGGTGGTTTGGATAATGTCTGTTGATGTCGTACTGTTGCATATATGGGATCAATGGTTGCTGGTGTGAATTTAATAGTTTCAATAACCTGTTGTTTTGGAGGCTCTTTTATCGTATGATATATTTCATTTGAATGTGGTGTAGCAGTGATACTAGAAGGTGGTGGTGGTGTTGCTGTTACAGTTTTATCCTTCTTAAACATTATTACATCTTCAGTTTCGGAATTATTTCCAAATATAGTATCCGGAGATGGAAATTCTGAAGGGTCCATGAATTTTGTAGCAATATGGTCAAAGTTGGAGTAATTACCCTGCATTACTGGTTCAGTTAGCTTTGGAGCAGATATTGTTACCGTTTCCTCAACGTCAACAGCTTCTTCGATAAAGCTGGTCGTTGAAACTTCTGTCTGAGGTACTGGCTCAAATATATAATTGAGTTCTTTTTTATTTGGTGGCTGAATCATAAAAAAGTATCATAAATTATATTATTATTAATCTAAAGCTGATTTAGTTAAGAATTGATTTATAGGTTTTACCGGCAATCCTAAGGATCTACTTAAATCTATTTTTGGCCCATTGTGTTAAATTGATTGATAAGTACTCACTTTATAATATTATATACTTTTTAGAACAAACAATTTATGTAGATCCTTATGGAAATTTTACAATACTTACCATCCAAGTATATTTGGACTGCACAATATTTCTAATTATATCTGGTTTTCGCATACCCATCAGATCTTCTTCTGTTATGCCTCTTTCTATCATATATTTTTTGAGTACATTGTCGTTAGAAGTTTTTGATAAATCGAAAGCATTTCTAGTCATATCCCTTGTCATATCTCCACTGACATGCCTAAAATTTATAGGTGAACTAATTTCATACTTATTATTTCTAGAATTAGTAACAAATGTTGTTGGTGATGGAGGCGTGATTGGTGCTTTAGAAAAACGATTTGTTAGCACTGGATTTTCTGGAGATGGTGTTTGTGGCGCTGGTTTTCTTGAAAATCTATTTGGTAATATTGGACTTTCTTGTGCTGCACTCTCTAAACTATTCGATGACGATGAAGTGCTAATTGTAGCGTAATGTATTGTGGGTGTGCCCGGTGTATTGAATTTTTGTGACAAAGTTGGAGAAGGTGCTGTGATTTGACTTGGAGGAGGTGGTGGTGGAGCCGCAGGTGCATTTCCTGCAAATGATGAGGTGTTCATTGTGGATGGCTGCAAAGACGAATAAACAAAACATTAAAATTAAAATAGTTTTAATATCATTTAAACATTTTACTTACGACCCAATATCCAGGCATTTTATTGCTTTTAATGATGTCATAAATAAAAGCTCTTCGCTGTTCCGGTGTCAAATATTCAATCTGATCGGATAAGCCGGCTTTACGCAGATATAAACGTAATGTTTCATCATTATTAGTTCCATTTAGATCAAATGTCTTTCTAAAGTCTACTGAAAATCCCTCCATGTACTTAAAATTACTTGGTTCACTTATAAACTTATTTGCCATATTACGTCATGCCATATAAATATAAAAATGTTTGTAAGGGAGTTTTAAAATTTTTATTGTAATTTCCACAAAAAAATATTTATAGTTCACTATAAGACAATATAATATATACAATAATTAATAATAATAAAAAAACAAACACTATGTTAGGTACGCATTTTTTAGATAAGATTTTGAAAATTTTATATTATCAGTCACTTTATTTAAGGCTACATGTCGAATGATTCATATGGTCAATTAAAACCGATTTCCTGGTACAAATATATGCAAAATTTTTTGAGAATTTGAAATTTAAAACCAGTCCTTTAGCATTCAGTCCTTTGATTTCATAACAAATATTGATTAATACAGATAATTGTTTTAAAAAGTTTTATTTATTTCAGTCTATTATTTTATTTATTTTATTTGTATATATAGTTTAGAATATATAGTTTATATCGTATAACATACACAAAAAATTTAAAATAATTATGCGTTTATAAGTTTTATACTTTAAAGTAATATTGCTAAGTACTCCTGCTAATTCTATTACTGCTAAAAACCTATTCTCTTTACGAAGACACTAACAATGTTTAGTCAAAGAATCCACGATTAGAGTTAGAGACAACCGTTTGGCACAAAACCACCTGCTCAACTAAAACATTACTGTTTGGAGTAACAATACAGCTGAATTAAAACAATAATCATTTTCTATATAAATTTGCTCATTTGTAATTTTTTTCTAAACAATATATTTTTCGCAAAGCCTTAAGAGTCTTATCAATAATTTATTTATAATGCCATGGCATAAGTGATAAGCATGCTTTATATTCTCACCTAATTTATCACAAATATTTTAATACAGGTGAGAAGTGTTACCCAAAGTCACCAAAGACGACTGAAGAGTGCGCTACACTTGCAAAGAGAGGTATATTCATAATAATAATAATATATTCTCCTTTTCATATAATATTAATAATTATGATATATTTATAGGGGCCTAAAAAATGTATATTATATTTTATTATTATTGCTTCTTTTAAAATAAATTTATAATCCCTTCATAATTGAAAATCCCTTTAGTATATTGTCATA